TCTCGTGACTCTTGTCCACACTGCCCTCTCCCGTTCCTGATGACTCAGGGTTGTGGACAGCTGCAGTGGAACAGTCATTTTAGGCTGAGTTTTGTGACGTGTTTGTGGCCTCCTCCCTGTGGTCAAGGTTGTAAACTCGTGTGGTCCCTGACAACAGTGTCTTGTCAGGGTAAATACTGGTGGGTGTGGGGCCTGGAGGGGAGGCCCGGGGGTGCCCAGGGCCCTGTGCATATGGGCAGTCAGCCCCTCCCCTGCAGCCTCCAGGGGGACCCTGTCCTCATCACCCTGAGGCATCACGTCCTTGTTGCAGAGAGAGACACCACTGGGCAGTTTCCACAACTCCGTCCCTGTGGGGTGGAGGGGAGAACGGCTCCAGCTACAAGGAGGGCAGGTGCGCAGGGCGGACAGGCCTTCCCCGCCTCTGTGCGGGTTAAAGGTGACGGGTGGATGTGTACGTGGGTCAAGTGTCCACAGGCCTATTCAGGGAATTTCCAGTTTATTTCTGTCCTACGTGTGGCGGAGCCTGTGCCCCACTGACTCACCGGCAAGGGACACCCTAGAGACCCCTTTTGGGGTGAGAAGTCCAGCGGCTGTGAGGACGGACCAGGCATCCGATGGTGGAGTGGAGCCTGGGAAAGGGGTCCCACATTCTCTGCTGAGGGCTGTGGGGCTACTGCTGTCACTGTGGCCTGACGGAGCCCTCACCACCACCTTCCGTCTGCTCCCTCCCACCCGATGTTGGGTGGACTGACCTTGCTGCCCACCGGGGCCTCCACCTGAGACTCTGTGACAAGGGGGTGTTAGAATCAGACCTCTGGGTCTCGGGTCACCACCCCGCCTCACCCAGAGGGGCAATAGGGCTGACCTTCTCAGACCCCAGAGAGGACCTCAGCCTCCAGACCTGGGAAGGATCCATGTTCTCAATGCCGGGGAGATCCCACTTCTCTGTCCCAGGGGAGATCCCACTTTCTCAATCCCAGGGAGACTGCACCTTCTCAATCCCAGGGTAGATCCCACTTTCTCAATGCCAGGGGAGATCCCACCTTCTCTATCCCAGGGGAGATCCCACTTTCTCTATCCCAGGGAGATGCCACCTTCTCAATCCTAGGGGAGATGCCACCTTCTCAATCCTAGGGTAGATCCCACTTTCTCAATGCCAGGGGAGATCCCACCTTCTCTATCCCAGGGGAGATCCCACTTTCTCTATCCCAGGGAGATGCCACCTTCTCAATCCTAGGGGAGATGCCACCTTCTCAATCCTAGGGTAGATCCCACCTTCTCTATCCCAGGGAAGATCTCACCTTCTCTATCCCAGGGAGAACCCACCTTCTCTATCCTAGGGGAGATCCCACTTTCTCTGTCCCAGGGAAGATCCCACCTTCTCAATGCCAGGAGAGATCCCACCTTCTCTGTGCCAGAGGAGATCCAACCTTCTCTAACCAAGGGGAGATCCCACCTTCTCAATCCCATGGAAGACCCCCGCCTCTTGGACCCAGGGCGGAGAGGCTGTGCTGAGCATCCTGGGTGCCCAGATTCCTCTGATCACCACCAGGGCAAAGGGAGCCTGGCATGGCAAATCTCTGCCCCTTGGGGCCCTGGAGGGGGCCCCTTCCTGAGTTTCCCCAGGGCTCACTGCCAGCCTGTGGAGGCCCCATTGGGAAGTGGCATAATGCTGGCCCGGTGGCTTTGGTTTCCTAATCCTTGCTCCTCCAGGCTTGGGCCACTTGGGCATCCCTCACGCGCCCAGCTCCCTGGGTCCCTGCGGGGAGGACGGTCCCTGGCCTGGGGGCTGGTGGCACAGCAGCACAGGACGAGGGGTACAGTCCTGGGAGTAGTTGGCTCAGGGCCCTCGGTCCTGGTCACCCTCTCAGACCCTGGGGGACTCGCCCCTTGATGTCCTTGCCCTGCCGGGAACTGCTGGGAACTGTCAGGCGGCGTGAGAGGCCTCTTGGCCCTGGGTACCGTCACTGTGGCCTGGAAGGCCTGTCAGCAGAGGCTCAGGCACAGCGCTCAGGGATGGCCCGGGGGGTGCCAGGCCAGGGCTCTGATCTCAGCTCGTACTTGCTTCTGGTCACTGCCCCTGCGTCCCATGCCCCCATCCCCTGTGCGTCCCCCTTGTCCAGGGTCTCCATTACTGTGGAGATGAACCCCTTCCCACTCACCCCTGCCCCTGAAACTTGGGGACCACTGTTTTGGAATTCGAGCCTCCCCCACTATCTGAGCTTGCTGTCCACTCTCTCACTTGCTAATGTCAGAATCGCAATTCAGGATGCATGTCTGTTTTCTGGAGGAAGAAAGTGTAGGGAAGGGAGCCCCCAGACCTCAGTTTACCCACCTGGTGCACGGTGGGGCCTGCCTGTGCACTCCTGGGCTGGTCACTCTCTTGGGGGGGGGAGGCGGCGAGGGCTGCCATGGCTAGTGGCTTCCAAGGTTGGGGCAGGTACAAGTTCAAACGCCACACCATGATTCCTCAGGGCATTTCCGGACAGGTTTTGGGCTCAGCTCGAGGGTCTGAGATTCATCAGAGGCCACAACTCCTCTCTTTGGGGCAGGACCCTCCTACCGTGAGAGGTGTGGCCCCGGGGAGCTCAGGCAGGCTGTCCCTGCCCTCCAGCACCCTGTGGCCAGCACTCCGCTCTCCCCACACATCCTGGGGAGGCTGGGGGTGGGCAGGGCCTGTGCTCGGGGTCGGGGCCGCCTCCCTACCAGCAGCAGCCCTGAGGCCTGTGCATGCTTGTGGCCATGTCTGAGACCCTGGCCCTGTTCCCCACGGGATGGCCACTCGTGGCCTTGAGCCAGTTGCCCTGTGGCCCCAAGGACTGATTCCATAAAGCGTCCCCTGGCTGGGTTCCCCAAGTTCTGATTACATGTTACCCAGGGACTGGTTCCTCTTGGGGGAAGGAGGGGATTAGAAGGTGGGCTGGAGCCGGGGGCCCCTGATGGAGCTCAGTAAGCCGCCAGCCAAGATGGGCCCAGAGCTGAGCCCACACTGAGACAGGGTGGCCCCCGGGACCCCACAGGAGCCCACACCCTCCCTGCCTTGTGGGACTGGGTGCAGGGAGGGCAGGACCCCTGGTGAGGGAGGCTGGGCCCAGGCAATCTCCCAACCAGGCCAAGCAGCTGGTGCTGCCCAAGCTCCGTGGGGCATTGGACCCGGTGTGCTGGGGGCCCTGGGGAACAGCAACCTACAGGATGGGCTTCCAGCAGGGTCTCCCACCCGTGAGCCTGGTCCCGCTTATAGCGGGGAGGGACGAAGTTCCGAAGTTCAAGTTACCTTGGGTGTGTGTCGGAATTGGGGTAATTGGGTTTTCAGCATCCTGAGAAGGTCACCTTTACCTAGGCAGCAATAAAAACATAAACCTCAGCTAACCTGAGTCAATATTTCCTCACGGCCCAGGGGAGGACCCCACAGCTGATTTCTCTATAATCTGGCTAAGGGCCCACCCACCCCTCGCCCTTCCCCTGCCCTCTTGCCTTCTGATGGCCCTGCGGGGCATATAAGGCCTGGACACCTGTCCGCTGTTGCTCTCCCACACCAGCCTCTGAGCCACCATGGGGCTGCCACTAGCCCGCCTAGTGGCCCTCTGCCTGGCCCTGACCTTGGCCAGGGGCGAGGAGCTGCAGAAAGGTGAGGGGCAGCGGGCAGCGCTATGGGCAGCACGACCTGAGGGTACAGGACATCCGGGGCAGCCCAGCGCAGACGGTTCTACCTGGGAGGAGGAGGCGATCCTCTTCTGCCAGCATTTGGGGCAGCCTGGCATCTTCTGGGGTAGACAGGCTGGGTCCAGCTTCCTGCAGCCCCCACCCCTCCTGACTTTGGGTGGAGGGAAGGAAGGAAGGAGGAAGGGAACAAGGGAAAGAAGGAGGCAGGGAGGAAAGGACAGGTGGTCTTGGGCTCCCGTCATTCCTTTGAAAGCCATCGCCAGCACAGAGCGTTCCCGGGGGTGATACCAGGTGGAAACACCTGCGCCAGACTGTCGTCCGTGGGTGTGGGGGAGGCCAGTCCAAGGGACCCTGGGAGGGGCAAGGCCAAGATGGCCATTTCTGAGGAGCCGGAGAGGTGGCTTCAGCCAGAGAAGACCGAATGTGGGATGGGGACATCTCTATCCCGCAGGGCTGCGTGAGAAAGCCACCGGGGGGCCCTGGACCCAAATGGATGGACACAAAGTGGGGACCCTCGGACGGGTCCAGCACTGCCCTTCTGATGGATGAGAGGCGGCTGGGTGGGGCATGGAGTGGATGGAGTGTGGCAGTGATGGGGTGCTGGGTGGCACTGGGCCAGGTGGACAGGGCACTCAGGGAACCTGAGAGACCCCTGCCCCCACTGCCTGCTGGGCCAATGGCCATGTGCCACACCAGGCCGGGGTGCAAGGGCGCGACACTGGAGACGTCCTTTCTGGGGGCTGAGACCGCGGGCGAGGTGACCACAGTCTAGCAGAGGCCCCTCCTGCAGGACTACCTGAGCCGCTTCAGCTGCCTCTGGAGGGTCCTGAGGGCGGTGGCCGGGCTGGGGCCTGGGGACGAGCCTGAGGGCGGCCTGGGGGGCTCACGCTCCGTCCCGCTGTTCCCCAGAGGGCAGACGCGCAACCACGTCCACAACGTCTGTAGCACCTGGGGCGACTTCCACTACAAGACCTTCGATGGTGACGTCTTCCGCTTCTCCCGGCCTCTGCGACTACAACTTCGCCTCGGACTGCCGTGACACCTACAAGGAGTTTGCTGTGCACCTGAAGCGGGGCCCAGGCCGCAAGGGTGGCCACCCCCAGGTCGAGTACATCCTGTTGACCGTCAAGGACGACACGGTCTACCTCACCCCCGAGCTGGCTGTGCTGAATGGGGCTAAGTGAGTGCGGTCGGGCGGCATCCCCCCACATCCTAGACAGGGGGCCCCGTGGCTTCTGTGAGCAAGCATGAGCCTGGCCAGCCCCCACAAGCCCCTCTCCACCCTGGCACATGGCTAAGGAGAACACCGGGGTTTCACTTCAGGTCACTGATTCATTCAGCAAACACTGATGAGCCCCATGGGTGAGGGACCAGGGAAGGGGTTTTATTTCTCCCACAGTCTTACAGCCCCATGGCTCACAGCCCACCAGGTTCTGGGCCTGCATGGGGGACAGGTGGCCATCCTTGTGGGGGTGGCCTGGCAGCCTCTGGGGAGGAGGCCCTATGCCCTGCTGTGCCAGGCTAGAGGTACAGATGCCCTGCAGCGGGGGGCTTTTGGGGGCCCCCAGCCCACCACCCCAGCCTTTGTTCCCCATTGTGTCCGGAACAATGGAGCCTAAGTGCATTCCTGTCTGGCGGCTCCCCACCTGCGTGGTCCGCCTTCTCCCTGCACCAGGGGATCTTGTTTCCCCTAGAGGCTGCAGCCGTGGCAGCCAGCCCCAGTCTCAGGGAGGGGGTGGGTACAGGGCCCACGGAGGCAGAGTTTGGGGTGAGCACAGAGCCAGGGCCCACCCTGGGCGGTGGATGGAGAAGCCCCTCCCCACTCTCAGGGCTGTCGTGGGGCTCCTGCCCAGGACAGACCCAGAGGAGGGGTGCAGAGACGGAGAACGGCAGGCAGGGTGTGGCTTCCTGTGAAGGAGCCCGGCCAGCCCAGGTGGAGAGGGTCTCTGGTCACTGCTCAAGTCCCCCGAGAGGGAGGACAAGGCCTTTCGTGGCCACAGGGTGGGAGCTGGCCAGGCAGGGCTGGCTGAGAGGCTGAGGCCAGGCCATCCCAGCCCACATGATGCACAGCCTCAGTCGCTTCTGGGCAGCGGGACCCCTGGGCCTGGCTGGGCGGCTCTGTGGGCTGGCTCGTGACCCTGTTGCCTCTCCAGGGTCAGCACCCCGCATTACAGCCCCGGGCTGCTCATCGAGAGGAACGACGCCTACACCAAGGTCTACTCCCGTGCCGGCCTCACCCTCATGTGGGACCGGGAGGACTCGCTCATGGTGGGTGCCGCCCCAGTGCCACAGGGCCCTGGGGGCCGAGGGGACTCCATCAGAGCTCTGGGACTCCAGGGGAGCAGTGGGTTGCCAGTGGTCCCATCCTCACCAAGAGCGGGGTCCATGGTGGGCTGGGAGTGTGGAGCAGCCTGTCTGCTGGTGGAGAAGGCTGGGGGCCGAGGCGGGGCCAGGCAGCCCACCCAGAAAGGCACCCTTGGGGCCTCGGGTGGTGGGCCAGCCCTCCCCATCTCCCAATCCCCTCCTGGTCCTCAGTGATGCCAGGACACCCCCTGGCTGCCCACAGCCCTCCTGCTACACCCATTCAAACAAGTTGCAGGTGCTGCCTGGCCATGGCTGCTCACCTGCTCTCTCTTCCCCCGACAGCTGGAGCTGGACAGTAAATTCCAGAACCACACGTGCGGGCTCTGTGGGGACTACAACGGCCTGCAGAGCTACTCCGAGTTCCTGTCTGATGGTGAGGGCCTCCTCGGGGGCTTAGGGGGCAGGTGTGTGCAGACTCCCGGGTGCCCCTCGCTGACCGGCTGTGCCCCCCACAGGCATGCTCTTCAGTGCTGTCCAGTTCGGGAACATGCAGAAGATCAACAAGCCCGAGGTGGTGTGCGATGACCCCGAGGAGGGGCAGACCCCTGAGTCCTGCTCTGAGCACGTGAGTGGCTGGCCGGGGACCCCTGCCCAGGGGAGGAGCCATTCCCGGGGGGGGGACCCTATGGGAGCCGTGCCCACCCCTCTCCTCAGAGGGCCCTGTGCCCACTGGTCTCTGCTGGGGACCTCTGGCGGTGTGGAAGGGAGGAGGGCTTGAGCAGCCCCGCCCACTGCCCGTATCTGTCCACCAGCGCGCCGAGTGCGAGAAGCTGCTGACAGCCGCGGCCTTCAAGGACTGCCTGGGCCTGGTGCCGCTGGAGTCGTACGTACGGGCCTGTGTGCAGGACCGCTGCCAGTGCCCCTCGGGCGCCTCCTGCATCTGCAGCACCCTGGCCGAGTTCTCCCGCCAGTGCTCGCATGCTGGCGGGCGCCCCGGGAACTGGAGGACTGGCACTCTCTGTCGTAAGCGCCACGCGCATGAATCGGGAGGGCGGGGACCCAGGGGCACATGAGGGATGATCCACCAATCCACAGGGAGCACTGCAGCCTTGCCGGCCCAGGGCAGGGCAGCCTGGTGCCCTGGATCAGGAGCCACGTCTCTGCCCACCCTTGAGGCGGCCTTGGCTTTGGGGTGGGTGGGAGAAACCGCCTGGGTGGGAGTCTAGAGCCCTCTGGGTTGCACCCAACGGCCAGGTCCAGCCTCTCCCCTCCCCCACCAGCTGCCCTCCACCCTTGGCGTAATTGCCCTCACGTCTCAGGGGCCGTCCTCTGCCCTTCTAGCCAAGAGCTGCCCCGGGAACATGGTTTACCTGGATGAGCTGGCTCGCCCCTGCATGGACACCTGGCTCACACCTTGGAGGTCAGCAATCTTGTTTGAAGGAGCACCGCCTGGACGGCTGTTTCTGCCCTGAAGGTGTGCGCTGGGGCACCCACGGGCATGCGGGGGCAGGAGGGGTGGTGCCCTGATACAGCCCACCCTCGCCTGAGGGTGCTGGGACCAGTGGCCTTGGGTTTTCTGCTGCACCAGGGGGAGAGCCATGCTGGGATGGTGGTGCAGGGTGGTGGGGTGCAGCAATGGCACAGGAAGCGAGGCACGGTGCCCCCACTGAAATCGAGGGACGAGGTACAGGGAGAAAGGGCACAAATGCTGAAGTTCCCACCTCATTCACACACGATGACAGCTTCTGGGAGTCTGTGGGAAAGGAACCTTCCTGGTTGTCACCCCTTGACAGACCCTCTCCTGTCCGGCCCATGGAGCCTGTAGGACCCCGGGAAGGGGCCTGACTCTCAGGCCCCCATGGCATGTCCCTGACCAGACACTCTGTGGGGACCATGGTGTCGCCCAAAGGACCAGAGGTGCTTGTGGGAGGGAGGCCTGGCTGGCAGCCCCCCCTCGGGGATTCCGGCATGTTCCGGAGGCTGTCCCACGGCTGTGGCTTTGGCAATGGCAGCCCCATTGTGGGGAATCTGGCACTTTCCGAGGCCAGTGAGTGTAACGCCCCGCCCGGCACTGTCCCAGGCACCGTGTACGATGACATTGCGGGCGGCGGCTGCATCCCCGTGAGCCAGTGCCACTGCAAGCTGCAGGGACAGAAGTACGCGCCCGGCCAGAAGATCACCAAGGACTGCGAGCAGTGGTGGGTCCCGGGGGCCGGGGCTGGGGTCCAGATTGTGGGGGGTCCTGGGGATCTGGGCTGGGGGCCCGGCAGCCTAGGGGAAGTAGCTGGTCCTGACCCTGGGCCCCACTGCCTGCAGCGTGTGCAATGCCGGCCGCTGGGTGTGCAAAGACCGGCCGTGCCCCGGGTCCTGTGCCCTGGAGGGCGGCTCCCACATCACCACCTTTGACGGGAAGAGGTACACCTTCCACGGGGACTGCTACTACATGCTGACCAAGGTAGGTGGGCACGGCAGGCAGGTGGGCGTGGGTGGGGAGCTGGTTCCCCCCACCCCAGCCTTGCTCAGCACCCCC